GTTGTCTTGGAGTGTGTCTGCAGCAGAAACCCAATAATAGTTTGAAGAGTGCATGTCAGAGATGTGCTGTCCAATATGGTAATTAATAATCATGTGTGGCTATTTAAACTTAAATGTAAATGAATTACAATGGAAGAACATTTTTAAAGAATCAGCCCCTTGGCATATTGACCACACCATGTGCTCAGGAACTATATGTAGCTTATAGTTGTCATACTTCTGAATGGTGCAGAAACTTCTATTAGAAAGTGGTGGTAGATGGAAAGAATGGTTTTTGGTATCAAACAGACCTGACTTCAAATCTCAGCTCCACTACCATTGTGTGATCTTGACAAGGTTACTTTGTTCCTTCTATTAAGTGTGATATTGACCTTGGATTTTGAGTGTGGACTGCTAAGACCTCTGTTTCACAGAGACTTCAGTGATCTTGGTATAGCCACATAATCATAAGATTATAAAACAACCAAGCTACTTAATAAAAACCAGAGAAAATCCAAGGATATGGAACCACAGATTCAAATCAATTTCCTTGTCTCTCTGTGACAAATCTTTGTTCCATTTGTATGTTTTCTTCATAGTCTTCTGTTTACAGTTTCTTCCACTTACCACAGAAGAAAGGCCTTTGCCTCCCCGGCTCCAGATAGAAATCCTGAAAGAATCCCCTGATCTTTGACACTATCCCGACTGCATTAATCAGTGTGGTTTGAGAGAGTGAAGTACAGTGATGTTGCAAAGGGCCCAGCTTAAATCAATTTTAGGGACCAGAGACATTTCATCATATAACAGTTGCAGCTACCCATTGATGGAGTAGTTTTCCACACCAAGGAAAAAGAAGTGAAACATGGAGGTCTTCTGGCTGACCTAAGACCCTGTCAGAAGACACAATGGCATCTACTACAAGTTGCATGATGTATGCCTTGCAGAGTGTTGTGAGGGGAAATTTAAAAGTCGTCAATGACGGGTCATTTCAAATGCCTAGCTTATAGGAATATTTCAATAAATTATAATTGTTGAATTTTCTTGTTTTATTAATTAGTAAGATACACAACGAAGTTTGACTACTTTAACTCTCCCCTTTCCTAGGTAGTTTTGCATAAATGCAGAGGTTATCTAGTAAGAGGTATTTATGGCCATTTTCTTCCTCTAAAAAGACTTTTATTTCAGCCCCAAATTTCCTTTAAAACTCTTCCAACTAGTCCTCTTTGCTAGTCAGACCATAGCTTATCTAAATGCCTTCCCTCACTATTCTTTTTTATTTGCTTTGAATGTTCTACAAAATTCTCCTCCTTACTCCCCCTGTGGAATCTCACTTGACTGCTGCAGTCCACTTAGTTGCATATTTCTTTTCTGAATTGTAGTAAATACTGCCTATATCTCACTGTTATGGTGCACTTCATAATTTGTAAGATATAATTTTTCAACATTAAATTTTAAAGGCTCTGAATCTGAAGTGGAGTGTGATTGTACCTAATGGTATCTCATAATCTCTGTTGGCTCTGAAGAACATCCAGAATAGAAAATATGTTAACTTATAGGAGTCAAATGTTTATGGGAAGGAGTTGGATGAGATAGTTAGACATTTTCATTATGGATAAATAATATTAAATAGAAAGTATATTTCAGAGTTTGAACACTCAATTATTTTTTTAGGGGAACCTGGGTCGCTCAGTTGGTTGGGTGTCTGACTTCAGCTCAGGTCATGATCTCACAATCCGTGGGTGTGATCTCTGCATCAGGCTCTGTGCTGACAGCTCAGAGCCTGGAGCCTGCTTCAGGTTCTGTGTCTCCTTATCTCTATGCCCCTCCCCCACTCACTCTCTGTCTTTGTTTCTCAAAATAAAATAAAGACATAAAAAAATTAAAAAAATTTTTTTTCAGTTTATTTATTTTGAGAGAGAGAGAGAAAGAGCACGTGAGAGCACACGTAAGTAGGTGAGGGAGGGTCAGAGAGTGAGGAAAAGAGAATCCAAAGTAGGCTCCCATGCTGTTAGTACCTGCCTGCCGTGGGGCTAAATGCCAGGTACCGTGAGATCATGACCTGCTTGAAATTAAGAGTCAGGTGCTCAGGTGACTGAGCCACACAGGTTCCCCTAAACACTCAATTATCAAACATGTATGAGTTATCAAATTTTCCTATTATTGGTAATCATTTATTAAACTTTTGCATACCTAAAACTTTCAAATATGTAAAACGATTATTTCATAAGTATATAACCCCCAAATTAGCATAAGAAGGCATTTGTGGCTCTTGATAAATATTGTCAAATTGTTTTCCAAAGTGGGGTAAGTAATTTACAATTTTCTCAGATATGCATTTGCACTTCTTAAATAAGGTATTTAAATAATTTAAATAATTTAACCATCCGTAGCCAGAGAATGTTCATAAGAAGAACAAGTCGTTCAGATTCAAAGTCCCATGATATTTTTATGTCTTATTGCAAGTTGAATAAAATAAGCAGAATTTGAGTTCATCCAGAGGGCTTCTATTTTCAATCACTCATCATTCAGCACACTATTGGTTAAAGACCCGAGTAACTTCAGAATCAATGGGAAAGGTCCCTGATTTGAAAATTTTGTTCATCACCTGACCTCTAAATTTCAATATCAGGCTAGATTTTCACACAGTTAGTATATACACATAGAAGGGTCTGTGGCAGAGCTACTAAAATAGAATCTCTGTTAAAGGCACTAAATATTCTCTAAGCTTGTTCCCTGCTATACAAGGTGGTGTTCAATGGGCATCACCTGAGAGATTTAAAAATGTAGACACTCAGGTTTTACTCCTACTTCTAAGAACTTCTGTATTACAAGATGAATTTTAAGATTTCCCTTTTGGTATATATATATCATATAGGCATATATATATGTTTATATATATAATATATATATAGACATTTGAGAATCATTGATATAGGTGGTTATGAAGTCACATCAAGACATACTGTTCAGGGGTGCCTGGATGGCTTAGTAGGTTAAATGTACAACTTTTGCTTAAGTCATGATCTTCACGGTTTGTGAGTTCGAGCCCTGCGTCAGGCTCTGTGCTGACAGCTAAGAGCCTGGAGACTGCTTCAGATTCTGTGTCTCCCTCTCTCTGCTCCTCTCCAGCTTGTGCTCAATTTTTATCTCTCAAAAATAAATAAATGTTGAAAAAAAAAGAAATACTGTTCATAGCTCTTAAATGTTTCACAATTTGCTATCATTTATGCATGTGACATTCATGACAAAATGCATAAAGAGGAATCCCATTCCCTAGCCATGGATCTGTGTGTAATTTTTAACTTAACTTTTTTTTAACTTTTTAACTTTAACTTTTAACTTACTGTAACATGTGGCATTCTCATGATTTGACATTGTTTAACATTATGAGTCAGCTAATAATTTTTTAAGTCTAAGTAGGCCTCCTCTACTATTCTAAATAGGTTTGCATTCTTATAACAATAGCACTGCAAAATTTCAAAATCATTTGCCATTTGGACCACTTAGTTGTTTCTACTCATTCACTCAGATTTTTAAATTTATTTTATTTTATTTTTATGTTTATGGAGAACTAGTGGCAAAATAAATGACACGTGGTTTTACTGTTATAAAGTGTGCATTCATCACAAAGATAATATTCTGAGAATTTACTCAAGTATTCTCTCTGAAGAATAATGTGCTAAAAAACTCCATTCATTCATTCAACATTTAATGAGCACCTACAACTTGCTAGACTGAAGTTCTAGGGATTTCATAGTGAATAAAGAGGAAATGAGGCTTTATTCTAGAAGGTTTACATCGTGTAAACAGAGAATACCTGATCGCTGTCAAGGAAGAAGTAGCCACAAGTTTTAGATAGCAATGATTGCCATGAAAAAAATAAAAGAGGGCAATGAGCCAGAGTAGCAGAGAGGGTGGTAAGAGAATTATGGGCTACCATTTCTCTCTGGAACAGAGCTAGTTTACATACACTAAAACTTAGCCCTTTAGTTAGTATTTTGGTGCCAATTTAGAATTTTTGTGTGTGGCTATTACTTATCATGTCTACTGTCACTTTGATTAATCTTGAGATCAGAGTCAAAAAACAAAATAATATAGTTTTAGAAGGAAATCCTTTCTACAGCAGGATGTAAGATTTGGTTGCTCTATAAAATATGAATAAGGTCATATACTATAACTTAGGTATTCTGCATTATTTTAATATATAACTTGTTTATTTTTAAATTCTTATTGAGGGCGAAATTGATCATATTAAATCGAGACCCAGAGAAGTTAATTAACTTACTCTGGTTCACATATATTTTAAGAAAACAAACCAACAAATAAAAACATTGTAACTCAGGGATTTGTAACTCTACTGTGCAAACAGTTTCTTCTCTACTTTCTATCTTCATAATTACTAACAAAATAAATAGAGGATTGCTGGGCAAGTCTCAATAAACAAAATTTGCCTAAAAGAAGCAGTAGTTGGGAGTAAGAAAGACAATGTGGCAAATGGGACAAACCCCATGGAAACTTTGTGAACAGTGGATACCCAAGGCTGTCCAAAGCATCTATGAAGGGAGGTCCAAGGACTGCAAGGTCATGCATATGGGACTTCTTCCTAACACAGTCCTTTCTTTCTGGATCAGCATATCTTTACTCCAATGAGACAAGAAACAAGTTCAGAAAGAAGAGTAGACATAGCTATAACATGTATTATAATAAATAATGCACAGCTAAATGTGGATAGGAAGATGAAACAAACAGTAAACAACTCAGAAATATACTTGAAACACCTTTAAAAATACAAAGAAACCGCATAGTGAATTTCTGCTAAGAGCATTTCCTGACTCCTTTGTAAAGAACCAATTATTATCTGGTCATCTGTTAGGACTGAATATTTGTGTCATCTCCCAAATTAATATATTAAATCCTAAGCCCCATTGTGATGGTACTAGGAGATGAGGTCTTCGGGAGGTAATTAGGTCACAAAGGTGGAGCTCTTAGTAATAGGATTAGGGTCTTTATAAGAAGAAATGAGAGAGCTTGTTTCGTCTCTCTGCTCTCCCACCATATGAGGAGACAAGAAGATGGTGATCAACAAACCAGGAAAAATGCTCTTATCAGAGAGCACATCTGCTGGCACCTTGATCTTAGAATTCTCAGCCTTCAGAACTGTAGGGAAAGTTTTTTCTATTGTTTAAGCCACTCACACTATCCTGTAATAACAGCTTGAACTAAGGCACCACCTGAAAACTCTAAAAATAACGTAGATGGTGAGTATTCATACATAATTCCTACAAAATTCTGTGTAAAGGTATTGTTAGATCTCTTTTCCTTTCCCTTTTCCTTTTTTTCATCTCTTTAGTAATGATGATGATGATAAAATACATACAAACAAAAGGTAGGAAATGATAATATATAAGATAAAATCTGACTTTTGAAATAAAATATAAAAGTAGAAAAGTTAAATATAATTAAATAGAATTAAACATGTGCATTCAGTAAAATTCAAGAAAGCACAGACCCTATGAATCAGGAGATGGACAAATAGATTCTATGAAACATGATCACATTTAGGAACTGGCAGAAATAAGTAAATAATCTAAGGACAAAAACATGAATTATAAATTTTAAAACTATAACATAATCAGTAACAACAGAAAAGTAAATAGATAATTGAGATAAAGTACACCTTTGAGAATCTCTAAGAAGGTAGAAGTTAAGATGCAGAACCACAGGTGATCATTAAGGGAATAAATAATGGAAGCAGAAAATGATGATGCCTCATGTTTGGCAGTTTATAAAGAGCAGAATATCTCTCCTTGGTTGAAGAAAACAGATATATAGATTGTTATGAACCTGACATTAAAATTGAAGAAAAGGGAAGAGCTATTTAAGCATAGCCTCATAAAATTTAACAGTTTAAGTACCAAGAAAAATTCCTAAAAATATAAAAAAAAGGAACATAAACAAAAAGGAACAAAAAAAGATGATATCAAAGAGTTGCAAGCACAGAAAGAGAAATAAGCCTGGCTTTAGCTTCCTCCACTGAAATTCTAAAATCTGTAAGACATTGGCACAAAATCCATATAGAATTTTTATGACAGAGATTGTCAAATATTATGATTAATAACACTTCGTTCAGTCAAGTTGTTAATGAAGCTATATATACAATGGGAGAAAAAAGATTAGATTTATAAGAACCAATGAAATAAATTTTGAATTTTAGTATTGGAAGAAAAGAAATAAAGTTATGATCAAACCATGAAGAGTCAAAATAATGATCTTTAGAAGTTTAGGTTTGGAGAAATGTGATTGATAGATTGCATTGAACACAGAAACTTGTAAATAGAATTAATTCTAAATAGATATAAATAGGTTTGCAAAATAGAATGCAAATTGCATTAACAAGTATTAAAATAGAGCACGCAAAAATGTCAAAATGATTTAATCATGAACCTGAGGCTTCAATAACTAATAAATTTAAGCCATAATTTTTTTTAAAAAGGTAATTGAGAAGGTTTGAAGTAGGAGAAAATAAACATTACATGTTTTTTAAAAAAACTTTATCTCACCTGAGAGAAATTTAATGTAGAATAATTTTTAAAAGTTATAATATAAAAATTCTCATGTTTCAAGTATTGTATACCTTCAACTTTTTAGAAACTTTATGGAAAACATTTAAAAGTACGGCTCATTTGGAAAAATATTTAAATTTTACAGAAAACAGAAAATAAACTTGTAATTTTTGTCTAGAAGGTGGACTAGCACACTTGAAAATTTTCTCAGTACAGACACATAACCATGTTGGATAAAAACAACATAAGTATGTTATTTTATCTTATTTTTAAAAAATACAACATGAAATATTTTAAATGCTAGCTTAGCTGACATAAAATAATCAATAAACATTTACAAGTGATAGACAAATACTTGTGTATATTTATCACAGCTTTATTCATAATAGCCCAGTTGGAAACAAATCAAATGTCTATCAACAGGTAAATGAATGACTAAATTTTGTCTAAGTCAGATAGTGGAATATTACTAGGCAATAAAAAAGAATGGACTGCTGACACATGCACCATCATAAGTAAATCTCTAAAATATTTTCTCAAGTGAAATAAAAGTCCTAAAATAATATCTGTTTGATTCTATTTACAGAAAAGTTATCAAACAGGCAAGAGTAAGCTATGATGATAAACCTGAGAACATTGGTTGCTTGAGACAGGGAGACTGACCAGAAAGGGAATTGAGAAAATTTATTAGGGTAATAAAAATGTTCTATATCTTAACTGGGGTTAAGTTATCAAATCTGCATTTGATAGTGTGTAAATACTAACTCGAAAAAGAAAAAAATAATCCCTGGGCAATGTTGCTCTGAAGTGAATCTAGAGCAAAATAAAATCATAATAATCTCATGCCCTCCACAATGAAAAATTTAAAACTTCTGCACAGAAATTTGTTTCCATTCCTCCCACATATTCTCTCATTTGATCACCCTGACTCCTATTTTCTCCTAGAGAAAAAGTAGAAAGTATCAGAATCAGAAATATTCCATCAGAAATATCAGAAGAATCAGAAAGATTCCATCAACTACACTATAACCAGTTATATAACTTCCGAATTCTACCTTCTCCTTGCCCCTTTGAACCTCTAATATATACACTCAAATATGCTATACTGATTTCTTTCTTGTTTGCTCTGTACAGTCAAAATATCAGTAACAATACCTTTACTTTCTTCCTTATTCTCATCTTTTCAAATTTTGTTTCTTAATTACAAAACCAAAGCTTTTCTAATAACAGTTAAAAAAAACAATAAAAGGTAAACAAAATTATTTTAGATTTACTCGTCTACTGCTACCATCCTAACTAATTCTGTCCCTTTTAACTATGCTTCAATGATGTTTGTTTCCATTTCTTAAAATTTAATCAATTTTAATGCACAGTAACTCTATCAAACTAATTAACACTGAGGTCTCCTTTTGAAATTAATGCTGTTATGTACAATGATAATATTTAGATCTCATCTTTAATTAAATTGAATAATTTTGACACTGTTGACTTTTTGTTCCTTCATAAAGCCCTTCTTTGTCTTGATTTTATGGGCATGTAACTTACATATTCATTCTTCTTTATTTTTCTGTACCTTCTCTCAGACTCAGACATCACCAACAGCTACATAAATGTTGAAATTCTTAAGAGAATATTCTAGGTCCTTTCTTCTATTTACTTTCTACTTTCCTCCTAACTAATTTCATCTGTCCCATGGCTAGATATTGAGGTAGGAGGTATGTTACCAAAACTCTAAAATAAAAGGCAAGTGGCAGGGTATTACAGAAACAACATCAAGAGAGGAAATGATTAAAAACAAAGGCTATAATGAGTAATATGTAATTGAATAGAATATTATAATAATTCAGATACTGAGCAGCAGAGGGGCTGGAGCAAAAATGAAGGCAAAGAAAACTAGCAGTCACTTGTATGATATCCAGCCAGTGTATGAATAGGGTGGAAATGGATTTCAACTTGTCTTAAAGAGTAATTTAGTCACTTGACAGTTACCACCATTGTACCAAGTGATTTTTGTTGATGGTGCTCTTAAAATATAAAATATTTCCACCATTTAATAAAGTTATATTTAGTGATTTGTTATAGTTGAAATAACTGTAGCAATATGCTACTATTTTTATACCTTGAGCTGTAAGAAAAAAAGTTAAAAACCATAAAATCTTCTGAGGTTATAGACTGGCACAAATTAAATTTTGTTATTTTTGTATACTGGGTCTTATCTTCCTAGGCAGCCAATTATCAGTTGGCAATCATATATTGAACTTCTTTATCAGTGTACCATTTCACTTGTTGCTTTCCAAAGAGATTAAACCCTGTATCGGAGGTAATGACTGAAGACTGAGAAGTATATCCATTGAGGTTTTCACACATTCTATATACCAGGAACTTTGCACTTTCCTTGGCAGGTGTTTCCACAGCCAGTTGCGTTTTAAAAAGGTAAATCTGATGATCTAACTCTTTTCTTTAATTTTTAATGCTGCCATAGTGTCTATATGTTAAAATTAAAACTCAATGTTTTGGCCTCCAAACACTTCATAATTTGATCCCTATTCATATTAATTATGTTGTAGCTCCAGAATATGACCCTTTTTCCAAATATTTCCTCGGCCCAGCAAGGGTGCATCCCAGATACGAAGGCTCCTCTCTGTGGGCCATTTGATAATGAATTAAATACTTCCTTTGTACTCTATTAAAACTTGTCTATATGCAAGCCTTCCTTTGGGCTCTCAAAGGTGATGATTATGTAGACTTCTATCACCAAACACTAATTTTGCCTTATTTGAAGGAGAATTCCCTAGGGTATGAATCCTTTCTGCATTCTCAGAGCTGAGCTTAGTGTCTAGTGCACATTAAATGTATATAGTGAGTGATTAAATAGTTGAAAAATAAATGAATCATTGAATAAATGAAGGAAACTGACCTCAGATCATTTGACTGGCTTACATAAAGCCATACAGCAAATAATATTAAACATAAAAATGACTTTAATTTATGTATTTATTCTGTCTTATTGATATTTTGTTAAACTCATTTACTTATTATATGTCTCTTTTTTTTTTAAGTTTATTTATTTTGAGAGAAAGAGAGAGAGCTCACACTGGGAAAGGAGAGAGAGAGAGAGAAAATCCCAATTACACTTTGTGCTGTCAGCACAGAGTCTGACAGAGGGCTCAATCCCATGAACTGTGAGATCATGACTTGAGCTGAAATCAAGCGTTGGACGTTTAATCAATTGAGCCACCCAGGCACCCCAATTACATGTCTTTAATGAAGTATTACTATTTATTTCTAAATAAATCTGTATGATTCTGGAAGAAAATTCAGATACCCTTGACAAGCTTCTCCTATTCACTGCTGGGCTTCTCACTACTGCCTTTTGACATGGATTGGAAGTGGGAAGCTATATTGTTAGTAGAGCTTTCAAATGTGGTATCTGTAGTTTGTGTGCCAGTTTTGATGTCCTCTTTGAACCAAAATAAGAATGAATTTGGGAGGAAAAATTGTGTCTCGGAAATGGTACATATGTTTAGTATAAGTGAAATATAATTAAGATTTTTTGCAGGATAAGATTTTTTTGTAGCATATTATATAAGGAAATAGTTTATTTTATGTGTAGCCAGGGTATAGAATGACTCACATATACACATACATACATACACAAAAATAAAAAGAAACACTTGTGCTAGTAAAATTAAAAT